TTTTATTATTTTAATATTCAGGTAATTATCTTCAGCATATCGTACTTGAGTTATTTTTACTTTTTCGAAATATTTCCTAAAAAGTAAATAATTATGAAAGTAATACGATAACATGATAACAGGTGTTGTCATATTGTTTTATGCATGGAATTATTATACAAACATTACTTTTTATTAAGTCAAAAATATCACCAAACCAAAAATTGTAATGTATGAATAACAATTTGTTAAATTTAAAAGTTAAAGTCTAAGGAATTTTTTTTACTTCAAAATGGAAGATATAATTAAACAGTTAACTATAACTAACCAAGTAGAAAGAAAATGAGATGAAAAATTTCTTCGAATTCTCTTCTTAAATTTGCAATTAAATTTAGGAGTAACTTTAATTTAAAATTTAGGTAGAACGATGGGTTCGACGAGCTTTGGATAAAGGAGTTGGAGGATTACGTGAGGAGTTTCTAACTTTGAAACGCTATACTCCAGAAGGTATGACTACTCATGCATTCCAAGGCACTTTTGAAGCCGGAAAATCACGATACAAAGATGTCCCATGCCAAGATAAATATCGTGTCATTCTTCGATGGCCTGGTGTTACAGAGGATTACATTCATGCTAATTACGTTGCAACACCAATAAATGAGAAGCGCTTCATTTGCACTCAAGTATCAGATCATTTGATCATTTTCGTAATGCCAATTATAATTGAAAATATTTCGAAATTTTCAAATATAAAGTTTATAAAATCTTAAATTATCATTTTTAAATTCATTTAAAACTTGAAAAAATCACTTCCTTATTACTACACTCTATAATAGTCATAAAAATAAATTGAATACATTGTGCAAAAGTTTTATTATTGACACTATATTAATTGTAATTATAATTATTATTTATTATAATAATAGTAATTATTATAATAATAGTAATTATTATTACTACTACTATTATAATAGTAATAATAATTACTATTATTATAATTATCGTTATTATTATTAGTATCATTAGTATTGTTCTCATTATTATTATTATTATTATTATTATTATTATTATTATTATTATTATTATTATTATTATTATTATTATTATTATTATT